AACATGGGTGTACAGGGCCGCGGTAGAGATGAACTGGATCATACCTGAAGAGGAGACCATTGATCCGCAGTTTTTGTAACATCACAAGTGATCGGTGGAACGCACTACCGGCCCCGTATTTGTAAAGTAGAACCCGTTCATCATGTACTACAATAGACAGGAGCGTGCCATTCCATGGTAGAGATCCTAGTCAAGGCCTCATGTAGCTCTAACCCTCGTGAGTGTTCTTGAGAGCTGCCTCATTCCCGCCAACCTTCTTGACGTCCCGCTCTGGCACGCTATCAAGGGGGCGATCCAGCCCAAGGCGGTGCGCCGTGCTATATGACTCTATGCCGTTCTGTCCCTCTGCCTCGGTGACGAGCTCCTTGCGGCGCGTGTCGACAAGAAGCCGAATGAGGTCTGGTCGCATATAGTGCCCCGCAAAGTCGGCAAGCACTTTCGTCAGGTGCGTCTCGTTGAGGTCAATGTCCACAAACAGCAGCCCGTCAAAGTCCTTCTCCGGCTTGACCACCAGGCTACCATCAGGCCTGTAGATGCGCGCGTGCCCGTTGTACACCGAAGGGTCTGTCTCGGGCTCGACGCCCTCGGGCGTGTTCATCTTCAATCCCTCGACCGACAGCCGCTGAAAGGGCGCGAGCACCCACGCGCCCGTCTCAATGGCGTACGCTGGCGTGACGAGGTCCGAGGCCGGGTCCGCGTAGTTTTGTCGCCGGGTCGGGCGCGACCTGCCTTCTCCTTACCCGGGTACACGGGCCACGCGGGCGACGTTGGACCTGCTCGCCCATGCTGACGTTGAGGGCCTTGAGGAACGGATTCATGTCTCCCAGCAGTTGAGCTGGCCGACACGGCCCAATCTCCGTCTCAACGACCGACATGAACGTGTCGCCGGCGCCGTCGCCGTAGACAAGCTTCTCCACGTGCGTCGGCTTGATCTTGCGCCGGTGGTTCACAATATCGCCCGTCGGCGTGATGAGCACCTGCGCCAGGTACAGCGTCGCGTGGTCGAGCTCGGAGAAGCCCATGGAGACGAAGACCTGGTTGTCGCGGGCGGCGCGGCGGATGCGGCGCATCTCCTCCGAGTCGACGCGGAGCGAGTTCTCGCGGTACTTCTTGAGCATGGGCAGGCTCTGGAGGTAGGTCACCTTCCACATCCAATAGGGGTAGCCGGGGATCCCTACAGCGTGTCAGACATCGACTCGAGACTCTGCGAGTGTGTACGAAGCTGGGGGTACTAACAGACTTCTGGGAAGGCGACAAGCTTGCATCCTGCCTGGCCGGCCTCGTTGATGAAGTTGATCGTCTTCAGCACGCCAGCCTCGAGGTCGAACCACTATCGAGTGTCAGCAAAGCCACCTTTCTACCTTCGTCAGTGATGTGCCCTTACCCGGGGCTCGGAGGTGACCTCATGGAGCTATTAGCCGAGTTTCTCAAGTGTTAACAAGGAATGCTTCTTACAGCGGCGGCCTTGTATTTAGTGATAGGCATCTTTGCAGTGGTGCTTTCGCAGACAGTGAATAAGATAGTTCAAGAAGAGGTTGGCGATCAAGGTTCAGGTTTGCTGATGACTATAGGAGGGAATTCAGAAAACCCCGTTGCGTCTTTATACTTGAGCACTTGCAGGGACCAAGTCTTTCGCACAGTACTCAAATGGCATCGTCTCCGGATGCTGCCAGAGGTTCGGACCTTTGCACCAGAGCCATCGAACCCCGAGCAAGAACAAGTATCATAGCCCGATGCAAGACGCAATCTGCAGTGGCACCCAGACCCCCAGGCACGTATGGCAAGAGTTGCAAGAGACCAGTATCGGCCGACAACCTCCACATGCTATGCAGACGTCTGCACTCGGCCGGACGCCGATATCAACGGTAATTCTGGGAGCAGTCACCGACGGGTATCATTGTTACCCTCGGATCATATCCCTGCCGATAAACACATGGCCATACGTCAAACTCGTCCCATGCGGAGGTGTCTCGGCATCAGGACCACTTCTGAAGTGCCAGTCATTCATAGCAGGTGGTACATTCGTCGACATGTCATCTGCGTGGGGCCGGTAGGGTCTTCTCCGTGCCGCCTGATCGATCAACATCTACCCGCACGGGGCGATCCGAGGGTTCAAACCCCGGACGGGACAACCCCGGGCCTTTGTCCGGCTTGTTTTTCAAAGCCCGATACACACCTTTGCCTTGCGACGGAGATCCTCGACCCACATTTGCTGCAGTGGTGACCTGACTTTTCCATGGCCACATCGACCGGCACAGAGAGGAAACAATGCAATGCATATTTGGCATTGGCGTGAACCGTTTGATGTATCATTGGATGCGTCAGAGCGCCGAGGGCGTCCCCGAATGCCGATG